GATTTTTGTCTGCCGTGTTTGCAAATGTCGTTTCCACCACAATCAACACATTGAGATTTCTGTCTGCCGTGCTCGCACTTATGTCTATTATTAGAAACTTTAGCAGCGGAGTTACAGCTGATACACCCCGAGCAGCGCTTACCACTATCCGTAACTTTAAAACATTCTAGAGATTTTATCTTATGACATCGTTTGCAAATTTTACTCTCCATTTAAATTAGATTACATTTGTTCATACATTATCTCATTTTTATTTAATGAAATAACAAGCCGGAGGCTCCGTATTCAATATTAGCTTACTAAATTTAACACCGCGTAAATATTTTTTAATTTCCCCTCTCTTTTCATCCGGCACTATATCGTTTTCGTCCAGACATTGATCAAAAGACGAACGATCCTTGCAATGAAAAATTGCTGTCCAAGCAGTGTTTTTGCGGAAATCCTTTAAAACGGAATTATATTTTTGCGTTAAAAGCCAGCAGCTGTGGAGGTAGTGCCTACCGCTAAACGCCATTTTAGACAAAGCACACGTATTGCTTACCTTAGACTTCTTTCGTTACTTAATAAATTGATCGGCTGCGCAATCGTCGATAATAAACAAAGTATTTATCCCGTCGAATACTCTCTGATAAAGTTCAATCGCCTCATTTAATTCTAGTTTTTCTCGATCTAAATCACAAAGATAAACGTTTTCGTCGGTGTACACCCACAGTCGTTCTAAATACGTTTTATTCTTAAGGAGGGTCGGGCATATAATTACGATAGCTTCAAACGTAAAACGATACTCGGTCTCTAAAAGATTTAAGATCCACTGAGTTTTACCCGACCCAGTTTTGCCCACGATTAAGGCACAATGGGGATTTCTAAACATCTGACTCATTTAATAAACCAAACTTTTAAAATTTCCTTCTTCCACCGTTAGTTGAGAATCCATCACCAAAAATACGTACATCGTCAGCGGTCCTGCGGTCTCGGCCGTTCGTTCCATCTGTATCGATATGTCTCTTCCTCCGCCAAGAGGTCTGCCCGATCTGCAAGCCGAGTTATCGTCGGAACTTCTGAAGTCGAGCCACAAACCGTACTTGTCTTTTAAATAGTCGGCCATGTCTACTCCCAACAAGGATAAGTCCGAGACGACTCCTCTAGCCAATTCTTTATCCGAGTCTCCGAAATATTTAGTGACTTCGTTCCAATGTTGATATTCAAACAAACCTTGCGAGTACAATTGATTAGGTCTACCTTCAACCGTGACAATCGTCTTAGTTATATGCGGATTATAAAATTTTTGCGGGTTCTTGATCGTCGGGTCTTTAAACAGGATCAAAATTCCTTTTAAGCTCTTGATCGTCTGGTCGATGCTAATGTTCCACAGCATGTCACTCTTGTTTACCGCTTGCTTCTTCCACGAGTGAATCCGGTCGAATAGGTAATACATCGTTTTTTTGTTTCTCAAGGTTTGCGCCAAGTCTCGATTGGTAACAACTTCGTATTCCAAGGTAAGATCCGAAATTTGATATTCCGCGGCGGTATCTGACGAATTAACCACTTTGTCGTGTCCGTTAAAAGTTAGATGATACGTCAGAGGCTCTTTAAACCACGAAGGATAAAATGGGGTATGATCCGTCAACATCGGTGTGTCCCGTGGAATCGCATACCTGTTTTTAAAAGCGTCGGCGATTGCCTTGTCCTTACCGTCGTTCGCGGCGGCATTAGCATCGTCAGCCCCTAGACGTATCTTGGCTACGTTTTCTTTCTCTAGTCCAAAATACGCCATATTTTTGGTCTGCGACGGGGGTAACCAATTGTCCTTGAAATTGTGAAATACGTCCGCATCTCGGTAACTTACGATTTTGTTTCCCTGGAGGGATATATTTATTTCCGAAACCACGTTTCTCGCCACGTTGTTATAAACCGTCCTGTTGTCGTCCGAGGCGCCGTCTAGATCCAGTTTAAAAGCCAACTTTGCCGTACCGGGTACAATGACATCGTCAGTGCCTAAAGCGGGGAATTTTACGTTTAACGTGTGACCCGCGTCTATGGTGCTCGGGTTGTGCGTAATGGTTACTTCGCGCCTTTTGCCTTTGATCGCGCGAGGAACTTTAAGCCGCCTGCTCGGGTTAAGTTTTTTGGTGTACATCTTACTTTTATATAATAGTAACCTTATTTTAAAAATGGCTAGTGCTTTGATGATGGTTGGAGGAGCGATAGTAAACGCCTTGGCATTCACGGGCTCAAATTTTTTATTTAGCAGTTTATCAAAAAGTAAAGTCGACGAAGAACGAAAGCGTCACGACCTCGCGTTAGAACAACTGGCGCAAGCAAAACAAGAATGGGAACAAAAACGCGTACACATGCTAGACTTTTTAAACGAACGAATGCGACAAGAACGCGCGAGTCAGCAGACATTTGTAAACGTGGACGAAGCCTTACGAGCTTATTCTGAATTGACCGATAAGAATATTATCCCGTTACCACCAGAGCCTAAGTTATCCGATTTTTACGAACCTTCCGAAGATCAAAAAATTCGCGAGTTTGTTTGGATTATAGGTGGAACTGCGATAGTTGGATTGTTGGCTTATCGGTACTCCCTTCGGTCGTAGCTCGCTACGCTCGCTCGATACGTGTAACTTATTTTAAAATGGAGAGAGAATTTTCAAAGTTGTTTTACAGCCCGCATGGTTACTGGCGAGGAAAAAGCGCTGTCGATCGTCTACACGAAAAGACTGGTGCAGACAAATCGGTCGTCAGAAACTGGCTGAAAAAGCAGGCCGTTTGGCAAATATACTTACCAAAACCAAATTACGTACCCAGACCTACAATGTTGCAATCAGAATCGGTCGAACCTAATTACGCGCATCAAATGGACGTTTTGTATTTACCCTGGGACCGCGTTAAAAGAAAAACTTTTAAGTACACTTTAACCGTAGTAGACGTGGGTTCCCGGTATAAAGAGGCAGAACCGTTGACCAGTAAAACCGCCGAGCAAGTGAGTGAGGCAATAAAGAAAATTTACGAGCGATCACCTCTGACCTGGCCCAAATTCGTAATGGTAGACTCGGGAACTGAATTCAAAGGCGAGTTTAAAAAGTTAATGACAAAAAATAAAGTACAAATTCAAGTGGGTGAACCTGGGGTACACAGATCTCAAGGAATCGTGGAAAGGTTTAACCGTACTTTAGCTGAAAGGTTATTCGGCCACCAATACGCTCAAGAAATGTTAAACGTGGGTGTGCGTAACGTGGAATGGGTGGAACGTTTGCCTCAGGTCGTGAAATCGTTAAACGAGGAAAAAACGCGATTAATAGATGCCGTTCCTGCAGAAGCCGTTAAATCAGACCGAGTGAAACAAGAACCGAGTACACCAGTAAGAACTACCCAAAGAGAACTTCCTCCAGACGCGGTCGTTAGATACCTCTATTACCCGGGCGAGCAAGAGGGCGGCACCGTCAGAAGGGCAACGGATCCGATATGGTCCGTGGACGTCTATCAAATTGAAAAGCGAACTAGTCAATTTAAACGGGTGAAAGACAAGAGGGTCAAAACGGGCCCAACTTTATATTACCTTTTAAACGGACCAAATAGGAGTTTCGTCAAAGAGGAACTTCAGGTAGTACCCGAGGATACCGAATTACCGAATTAGGTAGTACTCGCTACGCTCGTAGCTCGCTCGCTCCACTGCGCTCGCTTATGCTACGACCCGTAATGAAATCGAAGGGGAACAGTCGGATCCATCAGGTTTGAAACAAGAATTACATCGTTGCCGCACCGTACTTTTACGCAGCCAAAATGCGCAACGGTGCATATAAAATGTGCAATAAGAGCCTGAAAGTTGAACCCTGATGATGGCGCACCTCCAGAACCCTTGGATAGGAAAAATAACCAGCAAAGATTTGAGAATTGTAATATTTTTCGTTCTGTTTCTTCTTTAAAAATCCAACCTGGAAAAAGGGCTTTGAAAAATATTTGCTAGTATATCAATATATTGAAACTGAAAAATTACCTGAACTAAAAGAGAAATATCCTGCCAAAAATAGACCCATCACTTCCGAAAATCTAAGACACATGAAGAACACTGCAATACTGCAGTCTTGTACGCACATGAATATTTACGGTTTGAAATTTTATGGTAGTTTGTGGGTAAAAACCAAAATAAAAACAAATCAAACTTTTGTGCACATTTTGATAATTTATAAGGTAATAAACATAAAGCAATATTCTACTTTTACGAAAGATTCTAGTATTTTATGTAACCTTTGATGACAACAACTGCGTGATGTCAATTCAACGGAAATTGGAATCCATCGACTGCAGGTAGGTCAATCTTTGCAAGGTTGTACAATCTTTTTTTCAAGAAAGCGCGGCGAGTGAAAACAAACATACATGAACAAGAAACCAATGAGCCTACTGCCGGACGTGAAAGGTCGTTAATAAAACTATTTTTTTACCCATCTCCAGGTGAACTTTCCAAAGTATTACTTGAGGAAGACAAAGATAAAATTCCAAAATTGTGTCATGGGGTGGTAATTATTTTTCCACAGGTTACCGAACGTGATAGGACGGCCCAATATAAAATCCCCAAAGACGTGACCTTTTACTTTCAGTCGCCATTATGAACGCAGAAAACGGCAGATTTTAAAGTCATCTGTTTGCACCCTTTTCTCGGAATGACAACATTCACCACTGGATTCCCCTTGCTTCAAACTATACATTAGCTTTATTGTGTAGTTCTGAGTCACGTGGAACGACTATTTTCTGAATGGAATTTTGGGGTGAGTTTCATGGCCAATAGTACACTCAGTCTAGTAAAGCAATAGGAAACCGAGCAAATTTCTACACTCGCCTATAACATGAAAGGAAAACTGTTCAGACAGCCTCAACAGTATTGGTCAATAATTCATTTAATAAGCACACTTATCCACTAAAAGTGGTGATAAGTTTAAAGAAAAATCACGCAACAAAACAAATGCCACGACGCACATTCATTGATAAGAGATATTTACCACAATCTTGCTCGTCTCGTCCACTGAGGCAGTCCTTGTGCCTATCACATCTGGCTTCTGGAGATACACAGGATCCGTCTTCACAGTCGAAAAGACTACTGTTGAAAACTTCACATGAGGGTCGACCTGCAGTGAAAGTTACTATTTTTTAGTTCCCTGACTGACCCCTCAAACGAGGGAGTGTAAAAAACACGTGTGCCACAAATCACTTGTTTTGATCGCCTGACAAAACACACCCAGGATAGACTCGCCCAGATTCTAGGAATTACATTAGCCTCCCTATACTTTTACGAAGAGGTGTGGCTCGGTCATTCTAGAAGCGCCACAACATTGATGGGAAAATATCCACTTCTATATGTTTGTATGCAAACTCAGGCAAGTGTGTATTTGCCTGCAACTGGGGACCCTATTGTTCCTCATTTGTTTGTACTTTAACTTTTTTACGAGACCACCTATATGTTTTGTACACAGTTGTCAATCGGGGACCTTATTGTCCTCTATTACTCAGGGTCCCCAATTGAATGCAGAAACAAACTCATACTCCCATATGCTTGTGTACAAATTGCTACCCCCCCCCCCGGAAAAGTATAGTAGGTCACTCTTGTCACTGCCTTGGATCGTTGACGAATGTCCCACTGGAGCCTCGCGGCTCTCCACACTTATCCACCCAAAATATCGTATAACCCTGGGTATATCCTGCTGATCCTATTATGCTGGATCAGGCGAAGACTGGTTTGGTGCTGTCTTGGAAGTCTCCCAATTTTGGTCACTCAGATCCCTCCCCCACCACAGACTAATCCCCGAAACACCCTTAGATGTTTTGCTTGGCACTTGGACTCCTGGGTCATTTTCAAGGAAGTATCAAAGTACAATGCTTAAAGACACTGCATGTATATCGTGGATGTTTTTGAACATTTTTCAAATAGTGCCATCCAGCGACTGCATTGTACTAAAGTGCAACCTCTTTCCCATGGGTATGGCCTTGCCGCTTCATGTTGGTCCGGCATCACGCCTTTCGGGATCCTTGAAGAACGCGCAAGCAGCTCACGGAGTCGAGGTTGACTAAACTGACCTGATAAGGTCAGTGCCTACAAGTGCATTAGGAAGCATACCACTATGACCAGAGTGTGTCTAAGGAGCACTCAAGCTATGGTAACGATCAAAAATCCTGAATAGCGTGTAGCTACAAAGCCGCCTAGCTTATAACGTGGTAAGTACCTGGTCCCCGGTGAAGACACACTGAAGTCACAGAGGTTTAGAACTGTCAATCAGCCAGGGTCAAACAAAAGAAGTGACATATCATATTTGGAAAACACCATCCCAAGCCTGAGAAATTTCTTGGGTAAAAATTACCCACTCTAGTAAAACTAGAAACACAAGTTCCCTATCTACCGTACATGGGATAACTTTGGGCCATTTTTACATGTATGTTATCCATTCTTCTCAGTTAAAGACGATCAATTTCAATTTCCCTTCTTCTGAGGGCATTGTGATACTCATCTAAACTTCGATGCTGAAAGAAAAAAATTCAAAAATAAACTTCAAAATTTATTGGTGTCTTAGGGCTTCAAAAGGGGTGACCAAAGTTAACCTGGGTTTGAGGCAACACTGGCGACCTTTTGCTTTTGGTCTTCATCAAAACGGGGCATAAAAAACCAAATTAAAAATGGTTACCATGGTTACCACAAACTACGAAAATGTTAAATAATGAACAACTTCGATATTTCTGAAAAGATGACACTAAAAACGTCCGCATCCACTGTACGTTTCAAACCCTTTAGTGGTTACTGACCAAAGTTACCCCTCTGACCAAAGTTACCCATGTTACGGTACGTCAATCAATATGAATTTGCCGTGGTATGCATACCTTCAAGGCATTGGCAACAATGGTGGAACTGTGCCACAATGTATTTTCTGAACCTAACATTGAAAAGGCCACAACCTAGAAACTTAAAAAATAAACACCAACAAAAAACTGCTAAATGACACAATATTCATCCACTTTGACTGTTAACTTATTTGCCCAGAGGTGAGGAGCCGTTGCACCGTCAAAAAGAAAAAAAGTCAGTTTAAAAGGCTTCTGAAATATGCTGAGGAAACGGCCCGAAAAAAATATAGGTTTTCTCGGCCAATTTCGGAAAATGCGCAGTTTAATTAGTAAAATAAAAATTCAATTGGCCTGGATTTTGAAAACGACAGAAAACTTGGTTTCAGTTTCTCAAAACTCAACTTCGTTTTGCATCCTTCAAATAAAAGAATGTGTATTACGTTTCATTTAAGAGGTTACAATTAGGTGATTGGTATTTCGATTTGATGTATTTGTTGCCAATTGTTACCAATGTGCAATCTTAGTCACCGAAAATCTGTCTTTTCCGTTTCAATTTGATTAGAAATATACAGGATACCGTGAGGACGTACCGCGAGAAAGAAAGGTTACCTCAGCGTCGGTGTTTGTATAGGATTCGTGCAATAGTCGGTAGTTTTTATAGAAAGCATGAATGGTCTATTTCAGTCATGAATATTCAAACATTAAACCCTTCAAATAAAAACTTCAACTAAAAATATAACTTCTGTTGATACACAAACGAATTCAAATTCTTGACCAGTCATACCTTAAATATTACACTTTGCGCAAAATTGCCTGCACATTTTACAAATAGATTGAGTTCAAATTGAGATGAATACAGGATTGCAGAGGTGCCATCAATTTCGCGTAAAAGTGAATGTCAACGTTCTAAACCAGTGCAATATCGTGAAACTGAACGCTGAATTTATACCACTGAATGCACTCTCACTGAAATGGAATTTTTATTTGTTAAATAGAAACGGGGAGTCGGATGTTTGTTCCATTTCGCTCGAAAACGAATTCTGCCATTTCTAATTCATCTCCACATTTTCCGAAATTGGTAGGGAAAACCCATAACAACAAACTAGGCCAATTGGTAGTGGCTGCTTTGTGTGATATCGACAAGCCACAAGGGGCTCACTACTCTCGGCCAAGTGTGGTCACAAAATCCTCCCAATAAACAGTGCCCACTGCTGGTGTATTGGTTGTGCGAAGGAGCGTTAAATAGATCAGCTGCCGTTTTGTTGTACGATAGTCAGACATCCCAGTATTACCTATTTTGGAGTAGCGTATTGTTTTATTTCCGTCAAGAGGCATTGGAACGATCAAGTCAGACCCACGCTTCCCATCGACAAGCGACGAGGAGCAGGTATGTCACTTCTTGAGTGGACCCTGTGATTGTTCTTGATTCCCACACCACGTTATTGACATTTCTAATAATCAATTTTATCAAACATCTTTTGAAATGAATAATCTAGAATAAAGTGAATCTTATTAATTCTCTTTCCTTTTAATGAAGTGCCTTTGGATAGGGTGACTGGTAATCTCTATGTGTTAATTATTTTTGCCAAATGCTGTCGTGTATATGTATATTTCTTCTGTTTGTACCATTTTCTTGTCATGATGTTGTTCTTCCACCAGGTATATGGTTTATAATACGACCAGCAAAATGAGTTGAAGAGAAAAGGACGGTGGAACGTGGTCAGCAAAGGTGAAATAGTGCCCACACTAGCTCTTTACTTACCAACTATGCTGATACTGCCTTTAAGCGCCAGTAAAAACCCGCTGAATTCGGCAGATGAATCAGACGTCATTGATACATTCACCTCCGATGATCTGAAGATGATGCCGCGAACTTTCGTTGTGCCAGACAAACTGAACGTTTGAGGAGCATCTCCATAAAAGGTGCGCCCCTCGAACTCTACGACATCGTAGCGTTTTTCCGATTTGAAGTGCAGAATTTCCGTTATTAGTGTGCTGTTTGTTGCTGATTCTGCTTTGATTTGCCACTTGCAGTCAAGGTTTGATGGATAGCTAATCGGGTATCCTGGGGATGAAAACGAGCCTCTGTCCACGTTGATGATCCTTTCACCACAATAATCTAGTAAATAGACAACTGTAGTTAAAAACAACTTTAATATATACATTAATAAAATAGGGTCACCAAGACTACCAAGAAGGCGGCAGTGGAGCATTACGACAAATTAAACATTCTTGATATCGTGGAATGTCTGCTCATAACGGAAATAGCGAAGACGGTCTGCCAGTAACCATCCCGGGAGTGAACCAGAACGGAACTAAATTCATTACTAACCCTTTATATAAATTTCCATAATGATCTCTACCATAAATACACACCTAGCTGTGAAGATGTTCTTTCAAAAACATTTCCATTACCAATGTTGCACGAGAAATGTGCCATTTTGTTTGGAAATTCCATTGAAAATAATACCATGATTACATGAGAAACTCGACACAGGCGTATTTGATTTTATGTTTTTCACTTACCGATTGTGCTAGTGAGACATAGTGTTAAAGCGATGAGAACCAGCAGGGAAACTGATGAATATATCCATGCCATTGTGGAGGGCATCAAATTGAGTTACAAATATCTGAATGTTAATGAAAAAGTGATCAAGGAACCATTAACTTAAGTTTATTTCAACGTTATTCCATTCATTGTTTTCACGTGGGATTGGGTATGTTTTTTAATAGTTACCGACATTTTAATTGGAAAACTGTAATCTAAAAATATCTTTAAAAATCTGTTGCTGATTATCTTGATGTGACAAAACAGCACAGATAATCAATAGTTCAATATCTTTTTTGGTACAGAAGACTAGGTTGGAAAGGAGCTGTGGTGTCATCTTTTGACGATTTTTTTGCATCAATGCTTCTTACATGTCAGTTCTATAGTACTGGTATGGCATTGACACCCACTTTTGTTGATTTAAATTTACTACACCAAAATACAATTGACCAGCTTTGCAAATGTCAGTTTTGCAGCTGTTAATTTCGTCGTTATTTCAGTTTTCCCCAAAACACTACACTGTAAAAATTGCACGCACTTCGTGCACTTGCATGTGCATGTGAGTTAGTACTTATTGCCCTTGAGGCGATTAAGTGAGAACATGCAGACACCTGACTCATGTGAGGTGACAGTAAACATTTCAACCAAAACACTTCAAATGCTTGAAGCACACTTTTAGTGCCTGAAGTGCATTTGATCTCACCTTATGCACCTATACGTTTTCACCAGCATAAACTCGCTACACCTGAATCGTTCCAGTGGTTCATTCAATGGCACCTAACATGCTTGAATCACACTTTTAGGTACTTGAAGTGCATTTGATCTCACCTCATGCATCTGCATTTGGACACCAATATAAACTCACTGCACCTCAATCGTTCAAGTGGCAATATATTGACACTGGAGGTTCATTCAATGGCACTTAATGTGCTTGATTCACACTTTTAGGTACCTGAGGTACACCAGTATAAACTCGCTGCACCTGAAAAGTAGCAATTGACACATGATCGGATTCATATACTTGAAGCACTGCAGCACCAACGTACTTGAAGCATATTAGTTACCTGTAGTGAATTTGATCTAACATGAGGCACCAGTACATGTTCATACATGTACGTAACGCGTAGGCCTACCTGGTAAACATAATATGTTTTATAACTCGACGTGCCGACGTCACTGCCTGTGGCTTTGGCTTTGCATGTGTTGGAAACAATAGGATTTAGAACCTTAAGTGAATATGCCACCCATACATCCATGATGCTCTTAAATTGTCTAAGTAATAAGACAAGGTACGTGATACTTAACAGCTACAAAACTTGGTTTACTCCACATGAAGCAGTGGTTCGATGCCTGTAGCTAGTGAGTCTGCTCTTACCTAATGGGGCACGTATTTCCAGCTCTTGAATGGTTAATCATGCACCTGAATTGATAAAGAATAATATTGTGCAAGTAACACTACATATTTCGCCACTGCGGCGATCGCGGCCTGTGAACCCTAATTTATTAGCCCACCGAAGAAAAGCTGAGCTGTATTTTGGCAAGCCATCTTCATTACGAGCAGCGATCAGCCCAAGCCTAACCTCGGCAGCAGGGCACATCATCAAAGGCTAAATGGGGGAATTTCATCACCTGAGACGCCTGATGCATCACTTGCCGCCCTTTTGATCACGTGACAGGAAACACTTCGCGTATTAATTTATACTTTTCCCCCTTTTATTAGTACTTTCTAGTCCAGTGTTTTCATATAAATCCATCTTGCATTGGTCATGTGAAGGAGGCTCTAGACTGATCGTTTCTTTTGCCAAGTAACAAAGTGCCGTTTTGTATTTCAAGAGTATAGCC